CAAATGTTCTTCGTAGAGATCCCACTGATGTTGTCAAAAGGAAGGATTGGTCTGATAGCTTGTCACCCTTGATTCTGCGGGCTCATGTCCTCATTTTCCCCTGAATCCAAGCTACGCCCAGCTCGCTCTCGAAGGCCCTCAGCGGACTGTCGGTGTAGTTGGCCCAGTCGCCCCACGCGGAGCCAGTCAAGCCATCCTGGCACCCCAGTCGCCCCCCGGGAATCGCTCAAGTGGCTCAGAACTGAACACGAGGCCGGGTTGGTGACCCCAGCCAATGACTTGGCCAATGACTTGCTAAAGCAAGAGTAACTCCAGCTAGCTGACGCTAGCTTTCGTGACTGGTCCAAGGGTCATCTTGTCTTCCTATCTTCCAGCCATAACCATCCACTTTCCCACCTGGAAGAACATTCCAATGATGGCCTCGGTTTCGAACAAAGGTCGGCTTGCTGAAGGTCTGTGGAATGATCCAACGTAGTTTAGACACGAAGCGGCCAAATGGCACTTCTGTGAGCCATAAGCCATCTCAGAATACACTGCCAGCATCCGCCAGCAGGGGACCCACTCTCAAACCAGTGAATGGCAACCACAGAAAGGCTCAAGAAATGATGCTCCACTACCGCTAGTTGAGTGTCGATTTCTCTCTCCTCAAAACTCCTCATCCCAACAGGCTTTTTCCAAGTGGCCATCATTGCCAATCGGCCGTTGGCCAACTCGGCATTGAGCTTCCTCAGAGGACACGCCAGGTCCAAAACAACTGCATAGCTAAGAAGGCCGAAGGCCCATCCGCAAAAGAACCGACATTTGGGGTCCCCTCTCAAAAGGGCGTAATTGCAGATATGTGACAGTGTGTGACAAATGTGACTTAAATCAATGGAATCAGCTTTCGCATCTCGATCTCAGGGCTATGGTCTGAGGAGAACCCTCGGCATCAATGTAGTCCTCTGCATTCCAGCAGGACAAGTGCTGCACAGGCTTGGACTTATGGCAATCTCCACATCAGTATCTTTCACACATGGTCCACCTCACCCTGGCCAGTTCATGGCTCGAAACTCGTGGACTCCGGGGATTCCAGTCAATCAAAAAGGAGAGACGTCCACCATCAGCGCCATGCTCCCACACCCGGTCGGTCTCGACGCCCGGGTCTCGCGTCCCGTCGCCCGAGGCGCTTCTTGCGGATCTCGGGGTCGGTGATGCCGGAGTTCATGAAGCCGACGGACCTTCTTTTTCTCGGAGGCGGAGGTGTCCAGGCGGAGGTGAAGTCGCTCGGTCGTTTTCAGAACCAGGGACTGTGGTAGTACGCGTATATTACATTTGATGTAAAAGGCGAAAAGAAGATATTTGATGATGGTTTTTTGAAGCTTGTATTTTTGGATACTACCACAGTCCCCAGCTCTCTTCTTTTTTGGGGGGTCGCTGGAAAATGCTGGAAGTGCCTAGCAACGTTTTGGTTCGTGGCGCTAGGTGACGAAGAAGAAGAAAAAGAAGAATGAGAAGGTGGCCATTCTTTCCGCAGCAGGGGATGAATCACATCACCAGAATCCCTGGGTGTAGCTGATGTTGCCACACGATCTGCGGTTTTTTTCAAGGTCCCGCCTCAAACCCAAGAAGCCAGCACCATAGTTGCCGGGCTCGTTGTTCACCTCCTCGTTGTAGACCTTGGATAGTCTTACACCATCTTATACCAGGACCGACACCAAGAGGTGTCTATAAATAGCATATCAACAGTCAACAGATATCAATAGCCTATATACTACGCTGTATAGGGGTGTCCAAAAACCACCTGTTGGAAGGTCCTGGCATATAACATATATAGTATGTTTGCTCATTGAGGAGCCGCGCCGCGCCATGGGTTTCCACTTGCTGCACCCAGTGGCAAGGCCTTGATGGATACGGTAAGCTTCGTCCGCTCCGTATGCTCAGTGGTCTTCTCTCTGAAATTCCCAAATGAAACAACATGTTGCTTCGGGATTCACACCAACACCTTAAAGGCACCTGAGGAGGCCTTCTGAAAAAACTGAAAATATCCCTCCTGGCAGCTTCTTCCCTCCTTTCCCTCCTTTGTGCATCCCCAGCGCGAACGCTGCTCTGCCCTCCAAGCAGCGTTGAGCTCCACGATGCCGGCGAAGCCGACGATCTGCAGCCTTGGATGGTGCTTCCTTGTCCCGAATTCCGAAGGCCTCGTCCCCTCAGGTTAGGTCGTCTTAGAGACGACCCAATCGCAACAGAGAGTTCCATGAATCTCATACCATCTCATATCATCTCATGAATCCGTTATGGGTATTCTCCCCCTGACTGCAGCCCCAGATGACTCAAGTCATCAGTCGGATACACACCCAAAACCCGCGATCGAAGACCAAAAGCCAACGATCGGCGTCTCGCGTCTCGCGTGTTCGTTCAAGCAGCCATCCCAGGGCGGGCACCTTGGAGAAGGCCGCGAGGCCGTTGGGCACATCTGCAAACTTGATGTCCTCAGGATCTCACCGTCGAACCGATCGTCGTTGACCGATCGACCGGAAGCAGCGGTCGAAAACGATCGACGTGAAGCGCCCAGAGGGGCTCCGATTTCTAGGAGGTGTGTGGCTGTGGGTGAGAGGTTTGGAAATTGGCGCGAAAAGCGTCGTCATGGTGCAGATGGATGTGGAACCTAGCGATCGTGCCTCCAATGTGCTTCTGAGAGCGGCTAAGATCGCAGTTTCTTCTAAGATCGACTTCTTCAGGTCTAGTACATGATACCGGCGAAGAAAAACTGCTCCACTTCCCCCAACTCAAGGAATCACCGTGTCACCGGCTGTCACCTCGTCCGACGGCCCGCCCGGCCCTCCGGTGCCCGGCACGCGCCGAGAGTCCAGGAACTTGGACAAATATCCGGGGAAGCGCCAGTACTCCGGGAGGATGTAGCCAATGGTGGCGAACCTCAGATTTTTCGGCCACATGTCAGGTGTAGAAGCGATGTATACTGATGTGACGGGCTTGGCTGTTTTGGGGGTGTTTTTCAGGCCAAAAGCACATGGGTTCTTTTTCGGCTCCCAGGGCCCAGGGTCCATTCGGTCATGGTCGTCGAGGTTTTTTGCATTCTCTAAGCAGCGGAAAATTCCACGAACAGTTGCTGAAAGGAAGGATTGGAGTCTTGGGGAGATCGTATACATCATTATATATCTGACACTGAAGCACTCCAAACCCAGGATGGTGGTATACCCGCCCCCAAGTGGCACGAGTTCCTAATTGAACCACCCCCTGATCCCGACAGCGCAAGCTGTGGTGATGTGGCGTTCCTTTATTGGACATGGAATAACCAAAACAAAGCAATTCATGATGAGACCAGGGATTTTGGAGGGTTCTGGAGGGTTCTGGGAGAGTGGTTTCATTGGAGTGGTTTTCAGGATTGTATTTTTTGCATGTTTTTGTGTATTGTAGGCTGCCTTGATTCATGATGATCCAGGGGGCTTTAGGGTTTAGGGTACATTCCCACTATTCACTTTACTCTATGTATATATATATATATAGCTCACCAATCGTTGATCCGAGAAACAATCGAGGACAATTACAGTATACAAACTGTATTGGGAATGGGAGACCCAAATCAGGTGGTTTATCCCGCAAATGTTGGCAAGTGACATGATTTGGAGGGACCCGGTTTGTTGTGCATATAGGCTTTGGCCCATGTTCGAAGCTTGCCAAGCCTGATGTAAGGATTTCTTCCCATCCTTCATTCAATGTTTGCGCTATGGGCTCTGGGCCATATCAATATCCAAATGCCTAAACAGCTGTGGGTCTAATCCCCCTTCTCCCTCGTCCCAGAAGGCTTTTGAACCCAACAGAGCACCAAACTCCGAAAATTTCCTCTGAGACGCATGGCCACCCTACCGTGCTTCAGCTCCACTTCGCGTCGGCGCTTGTAGTCCGACTGGTTGCCTTGGTCAGGACACGGCAGGTCGAAGCCCCGGCAACTGCATCAACTGTGGCCGTCTTAGCCGATTTGGCGCTGGCTTTGGGACTTGATTCAATTGAGTCATGGTACTCCGACTCTTTGGCGAAAACACGATCCACCATTGGATGCCTGGATACTCAGAAACACCATGAAAAGCAATTAAACATTTGTATTAATAGATTCTAATATATGTACGAGTATATACAAGGGGGCTATTGTATGCTATTGTGTATATTTAATATGTCATATCAAGAAAACATGCTGAATAAATCCGGCATGCCTGGGCATGTCGGATCCTTGAAAGTATGTCTTTGTCTTCCAGAAAACCGACGGACTGCGTCCAGGCTGCCAGAGACGGAAAGCCCCAAAGGGTCCCAGAAGCCCACGGGAGGCTGAACACCTTGGGAACGGTGATGGGGAGACCGGGCGAGGAGTGTCGCGCGTGGCACTCGGGCAGCTATCGCGTTGCCGACGTCTGAACGGGGTTGCAGCTATCGCGACGACTCGAGGGAGGAGTTTGGAGTTCTTGCTATCTGTTGTCCTCTCTACGAACATCTACCAACTGATTTGTGGAGATCTTCGAAAGGAGAGAAAGAGAGCAATGCACGAAATACTTCTTATTGTGGTTCATCGACAAAACAACATCTGCAACAAGGAGTAATTTACAACAGCTCATCCCATGTTTGTCCCCTCTTTCACCCACCCTTTTTCAAAACCTAGGACCTACAACCTGCGAGCCAAAAAATGCTGTTGAGGCAACTCAGTTCCTCAACTGCTGCGACAAAGCATGACGAACCACACGAGTCTTGCTAGGTGCCGGCGCCTGTCTCGTTCTCAAAGGCCCTCAATGGGCTGTCGGTGAAGTTGGACCAGTCGCCCCAAGCGGAGCCTGCCATGAGAGGACCTCCTTTCAGAGACATCATTTATTTGGTGTATATTATTGTAACGTTGTTGTCCCTGGAAGATGAGTCTTTCATGGTCTTTCTCCCCTCCAAACCATGGGTTACCCTCGTGCAGGCCCCACCAATGGCATGACCCGAGGTGGGGCTCCGCCTGTCAAGCCGTCTTGGTAGAACATGCCGATGATGGCCATCCTGAGCGACGGCCGGATGGACCACGGTCACCAGCCGTGGACCAGCCGGGACGGGCCAAGGGGGCACACCCGGAGAAGGTGCCAAAACGTTTTCGTAGCGTTCTGAACGGACCCATCCTGCGAATCAGGATCCATGAGCCGAAGAAGGATCCATTTCGCAACTGAGGATGAACACCGCACAGCCTCACTTCCAAAAATTTTTGGGGGGAGCCTTTAACCTTTTGGAACCAATGTGCAACGGTACAATAGCGTGTGTTCTTTCGTTTCAGGAGTTTCAGTTGCGAGTATAGTATGAATGCTTCAAAGGTCTTCGCTTCGATTCACCTGGGGTCGCAAGAGCTCTTCAAGTTCTTGAAAAACCAAGTAGGATAGAGACCTAGAATCACCAACATGACCTCTGTCGACAGTCCAAAGCAGCAAGTCGAGAACTCTAAGGGTCATGGCTCTGTTCAGTATCCTTGGATCATTTTGGGGGTATCATCTCTATGTTCTCAGGACTCGGAAAAAGAGAAAAATATTGCGGGAGAAAAAATTACCAAAAACGGAACTGACTCAGATTGGAAACGTCTTGATCTGGCCAGGGCACATGGCCAGGCGCCCGTTGGCAAGCTCGGCGGAGAGCCTCAGAGAGCGAGTTGGAGCCCGGGAAAAAAAAACAATGATCTTTCAAAAACCCTTGACAAATGGGTGACCTGACCTGGTTTTGTTGTGTGAATTTCGAGTCATTAATAAAACAACGGTTGTTCGCTAAAAGCTAGTAAATCAATGGCGGTTCGAATCCTAGGGTACGGTATTGCCCCTCAATAGAGACTCCTGGCCACAGCGGACTTGTGAACGGAGTCGTTCATACTATGTCACTATGTCGCAATTCATTACATATATATATAATCCATAGATAATATATTATATAATTAAAACAATATTTTATATGTCATATCGTGTATATATATATATATATGTATATATTGTATCATTGTGTATGGCCAAATGAACAAATCTGTTCCACAACAGAAAAAGCACCATACTGTCCATACACCTACAGCCCAGATCACTTCTGAACACCAATGGCCAGGCTGCTTCTTCTTCTTGGTCTCAGGATCGGCGGAGCTCCTGGGAAGTTCCCCGATCCGATCTCGAACGGGACCCCGGAGGATGGGACGGGAACATGAAGCTAAATCAAGTAGTTGGCAAAGAAAATAGGTCTAACATGTCTGTATGATCATTTATGAATTCAAGGGTTTTGATATGGTTATGCTATGGTTGTGCCGGGTTAAGCTATGTTACATGAAGATAAGTCCACCCACGGGTCTTGTGAAAGGTACAGTATGATGATGTTGGGTTGATTTGTGGTCAAACACAAATGCGCCACCTTAGGACCTGCGAAAAAAAAAAAAAAAAAACAGCTCCGGCGGAACTCGGTGCAGCCAGGCGTCAGCACATACCAGCCGAAGTCACCTGGCGGTGCGGCTGGCAAGTCGTGAAAGAAAAAAGGGTCAGAATGGACATGATGGCAAAAATATGGAAAGGTACTTGCAGTTGTCCCACGACTAAAACGCATAAAAACACAATATAAATGCATACGCACAATAAAAACGGCTCGTATCCACAGGTTCAAACCCTAACGACCCACCCTCCCACGCGCCGCGCGGCCTGGGCGTCCGCTGGCAATGTCGGAGCCTGGGCCACGGCTCACCTCGCACCAGCCCATGTAGAGCAAAATCTGAGTCCAGCCACCCGCAGGCACCTGCACGGCGAGACCACCTTCGTAGAAGGTGTCCAATTGAGCACATCCCAGGCCAAAATCAACTTTCACTTCACCATAACTAAAACCGAAGCTTGGTGTCCACCATCCGCAAAACACAAAGAACTCTCTTGGCGACAGCAGCAGTTTCAAAATGATTGCAAAAACGAATGCAAAAAGGTTCCATCCAAGATCATGTGAAAAACTCCTTACGACTCGTCTGGAAAAATTCGACGCAAAATCCATAGCCCAAACATGCCCCCAAACGGCCTTGGAGATGGCCGCCAGGCCGTTAGGCACGTCCGCGAACTTCAGCCCGGCGCTGGGGCTCAGGTAGCCCGGGAACTTGCCCGCGATCTCGGGGGTGATGTAGCCTCGATGGGGTGGCATGAGTGGGAGAGTTTAACAGTCAAACAGTTAAACGTATATTTAAACTTACTCCTTGTAGTAGGTGTGCCTGCATTCCCCCAACAAATTCAGGCACCTGCTGAATGGAGCTTGGGTGAATTGCTGAGACGACCAGATCGTAGCAATCTGAACACGTTGACGTGGACAGCATGTGGACAGCAAGGACTGGAGTTTGACAGTTTGCCTAGAATGGACAAATGCTTAATGTATTAAGTCATTTCAAATTTCTGTCAATCCTGGATTCGCAGCTTCATAGAACCGCAGGCAGCTTTTACTCCTGTGGTTTCAGTTGGCTGATGAAACCCGGTCCACCACTAGCTGCTGCTATGCGTGACGCCAGGGAACCCATGGTGGCCAGCATGGCAATCCTGGCGCTACCCGCGCGGTTCGAATGGTGGTGGGCATGTGGGGAGTGCAAATCAACTGGCGAAACCATGGATTCCATAGGTGGAGTTGCAGCATGTTGCAGCTACCGTTCACCATCCGTTCGGAACTATGACAGATCTGCTTCGGTCCAAGAGCTGAAAAGCAGGATCCAGACCTCCGACCCGAATCACCACTTCTTTAAGTCTTATATGAAAAAGGTCTCTCATCACATCACTCAGGTCGCCCGGGCGGGAAATCCGACTCAAAACACTTATATAACGTACCGTTGATTTCATACAGATTTTCTGGGTGTGACTGGGTAAAGCCTCTCTCCCTGAAGGGATTTTCATCCATGGAACGCACCCCCCCGAACGCGCCTTCGGAGTCGGGTCGTTCTACATGAATGGAGGGGCACGAAGCACAGTTGAGAGACCACTTTGGACTCTGGGGCACACATCTGCAACTACATCTACATCACCTCCGAAATACTGCACCATGTCAGCCGGGCGCTCCCCCCTTCCCCCCTTCACCGATCCACGGAGGAACGGATCCGCCGAGTTCCACGCGGCTGGACCGCGCCTCCCGTGCTTCAGCTCGACGGAGCGACGACGCTGGAAGGCCTGCGACGGCGGCGTTCGAACGAACGGGCGTTCGCGCCGGTGGTCGGCGGTGGTCGGCGTGAAAACCCGACGCGGCGGTCGGTCCAGTGGAGGGGCCGGGCCAGGTACTGTTGATCTGATATCGTTGTTTGGCCTGATGGTTTCAGCCATCCCGGGCCATCCCTCATGTTCTGTATGGGTGTTTATTTCTGTATGGAAATAGCTCTTGGAAAGGGAATAGCTCCCTGACAGAAGGATCAAATAAAGAGGCTAACGCAACCTCTAAGGAAGACGTTCAAACCAGGTCGACTGGTCGACCCTCGGTGGATCTCTGGCTCGTCTGAGGCGGTGGCCGTCGAGTCCGGACATCCAAAAGACCCGAAGAAGAACCGCACACAAGACCTTTTGGATGATATACACAAGAACTTGATTCTATACCATTTTGTATATATCAATTCACAATAACTTGATATACACAAGAATTCTCAACACCTAACCAGGACCTACCAGGGGTACTACCAGGCGTGTACTGGGTGGACAACCCCTACAGGCCCCTACATGACTTATGATACTTGATTGTGGCCTCGTCGGACACCCATCTTCCAACGTTGGGTATGTGTGATCCATCCCACGACCAATTTGAAGGTGTGCCCGGAGACCAGTTCCCCACAACTCCCCGCCCCCACGGCCTCCACGTCGCCGTCCCGGGCTAGGCCAGCCGGGTCCCAGTAGCCCACGGGAGGCTGCACGCCCAACTCCTCCACGGGAGGCGCCCGTGCCAAATCGATGGTCCATCCGTTCGTCCACGAGGCAACAGATGGCCGGACCTTTTAGATGGTTCTGCTTCTGGAGGGTTTCGGACTTGACATGCTCGGAACGGCCTCCAAAACTAGTGTCCATCTCAGACCCGCCCTCAGCCCAGCTGTAGAATCATCGATCGAGGCAGTTCACTTTTGGGGACCTGCGGATCCCCACGACCTCTTTCAACCCACCCACTGCCGGTGTTCTCGCTGGGTCCTGCTCGAATGCCTGGCCAAGTCGCGGGATGGTGTTTGGAGTAAAAGATCGGCTCAATGGTGATCTATGGATCGAAGTGTTTGGCAAAAACTGTCAGTACTTTCTGCCAAGGATCCTGGTATGCCTTCTCCAACTTTCTACACTGTAGCTTCAAAGTGGACCCAGTCGACAAACTGAACCCGTCTCTCCTCCCGCTTCACGTGCCCGGTTCCAGCGCCTTCAGTGCGGTGACGGTGGTCTGGCTGAAGCTGCTCACGGGGCGGCGGGCCATCACGGCGCCCACGCTGGCAGCTAGCACGGAAGCCGCCGCATAGGAGGCAGTGGACGCGGAGGGCGCGGAAGGCGCGGAGGGCGCTGCCTGTTCGCGTGGCGCTAGGAAAAGGGAGTCATGGAAGCAGGTGGGGAGATAGTCCTTTTCGGGTGAGAGCTTTGAGTCAGGCACGTGACATGTGTGCATAAAGTCAATAAAGTAATAAGTATAAGTTTAATTTTGTATATACAGTATACATGTACTACATATAATATATTTATATAGTCTTCAAAGGAAAGTGTGCAGTAAGTTGAGAGGCCTTACTGCACGACATGTTGCTACTGGATGAATGATCGGGAAAAGATCGGACAACCAAACTAGACCAATTATGGTAACTAGGACCATCTAGGACCTTTCAACCACTGTACCTTTGAACCCCAGCATGGAGTGAAAAACGTTCAAGCAGTGTGATGGATGCTAAGCGTATGCTGCTAAGTCGAGAGCGCAGGGTTGCTCCATGACCCCTCCCTTGGCCAGCTGGCCAATTTTGGGCCCGCCCTGCCCCCCCACCTGTGGAAGTATCTACCCTCTGGAAGCAACAAAGCACCCCCCCTTCTGTGTGCGAAACGGAAATTTCCTTAGCAGGTCAAAAACGAACAAGGACAAACCTCACAGAAGCCTGCCACCCCACCACCCGAAGAACAAGGTGAATGGCCACGATGGCCTGGTGAGTCTTAACGCCCCGCAAGGAGCTGGACTTGCTGGAGCCTGCCGGATGGAGAGTTCGCTCTCGGGGCGAACTCAGGGTGCAGAACCCGAGAGCACACCGAGTTCGGAATCGATCTGATTGGGCTCCAGCAGCTAAACCAATGAACGGACGAGCCGAACGATGACTTCTGCAGGACACCCATTTTCCAGCGCTGGGGATCGATGATCGATCCATGTTCCCTTCAACATCCAAGTCCACCAGACGTCGAAGCGGGTTTCTGGTTCTTTCTGGTCATCGATTTCGGCCTCCAGGTCAAGCACCTCTATTGGTCAAAGGGAAAATGGACCCGCAAGTGGCAGCTTTTGGAGTTTTCCGTGGACTCGCAAGCGGCGGAGATTATGCAGTGCTCCCCAAACAAACTAATTACCTTAGTGAGTGCCCCTCGACCAAAGTCAGATTGCCACGCCTGTGCCAGCAATAAACGCCGTGCTTGCAGCCGCACCTGTCACTCGATCGCTGGTTCACATGAAATGACGATGGGTCTGACCAAATGTGAGTCGTATCATGAGGTACCATGGGTATAGGTGTAAAATTTACAGTAAATGAATGACGGGCCAAGAAGAAAGGCATGTCATCATGTTTTCGCACCCACCGAAACCAAACGCTCTTTGTAGTTCACCACACCACCCACCCAACGACAGAAGGAAGGTGGTGGCCTTCCTTGTACCTCAAGGTGGTGGCCTTCAGTGAAGCCTTCACAAGTCAATGAGAGAGCAATACAGTAACCTCATGTAACCTCTGTTTTCTGATCCCTGATGAAGAATCAGAAATTCACCCAAGACAACCCAAGAAACTGCTACCAAAATCTTCAGACCTCCCAATCCCCCGTTGGCCTTGCGCAAACCGATGGTCGCGCTGGCCATTTGGCTTCATCCATGTCTTCGTGCGTTCGTCCGATGGTCCGATGGTACCGAAGACCCCTCCCAAATCCCGTCACACCTGCCAGGCCAATGGCCGCACCGCACTTCTTGGAAGCCATCCTCTGCCGTGACGTGTTACCCGCCACGCGGCCCGGTGACGTCGTCAGTTTTCTCCCATCGAGCCAAAGGAAAACCGGTCTTCGGTGGCCGGTTCCTTAAAGAGCTACTTGTAGCGAGCAGCTAGACGCCTGCGTACCCGGGGCAAGCGAACTGAGGGTCCAGTCAAGGCTTGGGTGAAAACCCCGTGGATTCCGAGCAATCCTGAACTTTGGCAGGTTTGAACTTTGATGGCAGGTTTGATGTGCAAATGTTCCTCAAACAAATACAGCTAATGATGTTGTTCCAAGCATCATTCTCCAACCAGCGACCTCCAACCTTTGCGTTCAAGTTCAACCAACTAACTGCGACTAGATATCACCGACCAAATGGATCATTTGAGATGTCCACGAGCAACTTGTTGGTCCCTGTTTTTCCATGCAAGTCAGGACTCCACCAGTAGGAGCGTCAAACATGCGGTTGTAACATAACCACAACATCGGAATCAATATGATCAATCATCTTTCCAAGGGTCGCCCAACATGAAGTGAGGATCTCTCTTGGTTCTTGGTCCGTTGAGATGTGAAACGACTTATCTAATCATATATAACAATTTGGACGCCACTCTGTTGAAGCTTTCTTCAACCAGCATCCCTCCCCAAACAGTGGCCACCCACGGAAACCCATCGGTCCTTTGGGCAAGAGGAAGCGGTCACTGCGGGTAACCCGAGAAAAACCTACCAGGCGCCTAATACGCCTGCGTTTTTGGCGGTGCTGGTCGCCAAAAAATCTGCGGCATACATGTTGCCCATGGATTCAGTGCTTGATCATGCTCAATTTGCAAACAAAAAACATGTCCAAAGACACGCGCAAATCGATTGACAATATTAAAATATGGAAAATATTTTAAAAACAAAACATAAACGCGGAATGAGCCGGCTCACTAAATCAATTTGCAATGATTCTTTTAAAAATATGTCCAAAATCACACAGGAAAAAAATACCATTTGAAACATATGATTGGGAATAGCAGTTCCTCATTCAAGTTTTTACTCCGTAGGTCCGAGGCTATTCCAAGTTGAGGCCAAGGCTTTCAAGTAGTCTTTCAATTCTGCTGTCACTTGGCTCTTCTCCATGCCTGCGAGGATTTCTGGCACGCCCTGCCCCCCCCCCCAAAACACGATTGCTTCTCCTGCCAGTTTAGGTGTCGTGATGGGTATGTGACGTGTATAAATGAAGTTCCTTCATGTTCCTTCCACATCTTCACAGTGTTGAAGTACTGCTTTTGGGGATTGTCTCCACACTGGGAGGTGCAGGAAACTCAAACTCATCCATAAAACCTGCAAAAGGGGATGGTAACAAAGGCTCACATAGCGAACTGGGTCAAGATCCACATCGCGAATCCCCACAGAACAGTTGTTGTTGAGAACAAGCACTCGCATTGGACAGGAAAACAGCTGCGCAGGATTCATTGCTTGGTACTCACATTTGGTGCCTGAAAAAGCTCCATGCGCGATCAAAACCCCACACGTTTCATGAAGTCTCTGCTGTTCCAGCCAGGTCTGCGTTGGGGGTCAGGTCTGCTGTTCAGGTCGTGCGCGGTTGGGGGTCGGGTCGGCACTCCACGGACGCTCCCGAGCCGGGCCCATCCAAGAGCTCCAAGACGTGAGGTGAGGGAAGACCTGCGAGCGCCAAGGCGCGCGGTGGGTGTGGATGTGGGGGTGTTGGAGGTGTTCTTACGTACGGGTTGCCCCCCGCGGATGGGCAACAAATGGCAGTCGAAAATTCTGGAAGGGTGGAACCGGCACACGTGCACATACAGTGTATGTGTTGGCTCGTTGTTGGATGATGTTGGATCCACAAAAAAAGAAAAACAAATATTCCAGGCCATCCTCTTTGCCCGTGCATCGCCTTCTCCACAGAGTCCTGGACGAAGCTGGCCTTGGGCCATTCCAGGCACTGCCAAAGGATGTAGGACAACAGCGTGCCAACGACTGGCCTACAACGATCAAAAGGTATCCAAAGGTCAAATCTGAAAAAGAGGCGTTGCTGCTCACTTCCCACGCTTCAAGGGCCCTCGCCACACCAACCCCTCCCGGATGTCGGGCTTCCGGCGCCGTAGTATTCCAGCTGCCTGGAGCTGGCAGAGCAAGGATGGACAGCATAGCGTTCCCGGGTAGGGTGGTGACCCAAGAACCTCACGGTGACACATGGTGAGACACTTCCTTCGGAGTATTTTGGGAGGTTTGACACGAGGTGAGCCCTGGCTCTCAGGCAGCAAGTGCAATAGAAGTTCTCCTTCGGGCAAAATGGATCCCCGTCGTACAGCGTCGCGTCGACAGCAAGAATCCTCAAAAAGGAAAAATCATCTGCCCTGCAGACCTTGTTGCCAGAAATCCTGCTCAGCAGCAGCTGCTGCTGCTGCTCCTGCGGCTCCTGCCGCCACCACCACCTCCACAACCCTCCTACTCCTACTGAAACTGCTACTTCGCGGCACCAGCCATCCCAATCTCCCAAACTTCCCTCACCAATGGTCCCTCACGGTGCTCTGCGCCTGATCTTCTTCCCGGACGCCTTCAGCGGCTGGTCACCTGGGCGGTCCGCACCACCGAGCTCTACCACGGAGCTCTACCACGAATCGGCAGCTGCGGTCAAAATGATTCAAAAGGCCCTCAGAGTGTCCAAGGGATCATTTGGAGTAGCACGCAGTGTCCATTTCAGTGTCCAAGGTCAACCCCAGTGTCCATTGGGCTCGAAATGATTCAAAAACATTGGGGTTGACCCATTGTGATCTGTCTTTTTGCAGTACGCTGACCCACTTAGCGTCAGCCGTTCTTCCATGGGCGCAGCTCCTCTCTATTGTTTCTTGATCATGATCTTCGCCCGCGAGAACTTGATCACCACCCTCTCTCATAGCTCCAGCATCCTGCAGTATCAGCCATAAGGATCCATAAGGATCTCCTTTCCAAGCTTCACATCCTTGGAGCACCGTGCCATTGAAGGCACCTGAACGGGTCTCGCGCCACCTTTTTCACGGGTCTCGCGGTGCCCAACGGAGGAGCCGCCCGTGGTCCACGTGATTTAAACGACAAAGGCGACAACGACATGAGTGAACATGTCCATTTGTGACCATATTATACAGTATACAATTGTGTACCGTACATATCAGAATGTGTGTGCATGTCGAACTTACATGTCTAATCATATCTTGCTGTAGCTGTTTCGGTGTCCTATTTGGTTTTCCGTGTTTTCGGGTGCGCCATCCTTTGCCCTCCAGCCATCCTGGCCCGACCAGCAGAGCCATCTCCGAGCGCTGGATCCACCGAAAAAGGTGTGGGAAAAAGGAGAAGCAAGCCTTGAAGCCATGCCACATGGATGGTATCCTGGATGGTGTGTCTTTCTGACGATGTATTTTTCTTCGGACATCCTACCTCTCAAGAACTCCACCAGTCATCTACCCTTGGAGAAGCACAAGAACAGAACCTAGGAAGGTTTCCCCACCTACTCTGAGACCACTGTAGCTCATCCATCCTCCATCCTCCACTTCATCTCATTCCCAGCTGAACACCGCGATCTCGGGCTTCCCAGCCCACTCCAGAGGGCTCCACCAGTGCTATGTTCATGTTCGTGGGCCTAACCGCGCTTCTTCAGCGCTTCTTCGCCAGGCGGGTCGGCGCCAGGCGGGTCGGTCGACGTGGCGGGTCGCGGGGTCTCAGTCCGAGAGCTGCGCCTTGTAGGACTTACGTTCTACCAGCTGGAAGGCTTTCCAGCTGGACTGCCGAAGATCGAATTCTTTTCAGACCTTTGGGATGACAATGAATTTGACTGTAGGGCCCACTGCCGGTGTTCACGCTATAATGGAGGCTGAGGGGCACCAACTCGCCAGCTAACCCGCGAGCCCATCCATTCGGAATCCCATCCCCGCCGTGCAGGCACCCGCAGCACCCACCACACCTCACCAAATCCAGTATGGTTTTCAGCAGCTCAGGATCCTCTCGAGAGCTCAAACAGCTGCTTCCACAGGGAGGTCTCTTGTGCTGGGAATCGCGAAAGCTAAGCTAGGGTGAGATGGCTACCAAAACTGACCTCATGGAGGCTGAAAAGGCCTAGTGACTGTGGAAGAAAAGTGTTCTTGGATCAATCTTGGATCTTTGTAGAGGTGCATGTGGCAATGTCGTTCCACTTCCATGATGTTCTCAACAAAGGCCCACCATGCACGGTCAAACAGTGAAACACATGGAACATTGATGCAGCGGTGGGTCTTCCATGCGACCGCCGTCTCACGGCATCACATGGACATTTCGGCCAGAAAATCGTTGTTCTCTTGTCCAATCAATCGAAGTGTGCCATCAAACTCAGAGTATCTGCTGAGTCTCCATGAGTTGCTCGAGCTGATCATGGAGACGGGGGACCGTAGTTTATAAACATCTTCCATATCTGAGTCGACAGGACTGTCAGCACGTAGCAGCTACACGGACAGACCTGGTCACTCTTCGACGGTCCGGCAACCAGGACTGGTCCTACGAAGCAGTTCACCAGTTCACCGTTCAACCTACACTCCGACTCACCTAACATGTTTGTAGAGGAAAATGGTCTTCCAAGAGGCCATGTTCCACTTCCATGTTAGTGAGTCAGAGGGTAGATCAAGCTACTTCTAATTCATGGACAACACCCCGTGGACTTGCTCGAGGATGCTCGAGGTGACCTGGATCTCCTTGGTCCGGGAGTGTAGGAAGGACAACACCCCTATCAATCCTGGAAGCTCATCCCCCAGCTATGGACTACCAGCTCCTGTTCAAAGGGATACCTATCCAACAAACATCGAAGTGGAAGAGGCCCAGCTTGTAGAGGAGATCCAAGAACGCCTAGGTTTTTCCTGCACCTTCCAAGTCCACGTCCGCCGATGCCCCCCGGGTCAATGCCCCCCGGGTCGATACCCCCCAACCGCCCCAACGGTCCGGCTTCTCGATCAAGCTGTCACCTCGCCGGGGGCGAAGCCGAAGGCGCCCAAAAGAGGTTTGAA